TTTTTTTACAAGAAACAAACTTTTCTTGAGTGGTTTAAAATTTCTTTGTTATTATCCATTCTTCTATGAAACACAGAAACCTTGCCTGATCCTAGTTGGCACAACCTTAACAAAGCTTTTTCGGGCTGAAAATGATTGAAAGTTCACAACAGGTCAATAGTATCCTGTGAGCTGGAAGCAATTTAAACCAATCATGATGAAAGCATCTTCTTTGCACCAAAATAACTTTCTCTTGATCAAAGTACGCTTCCTTGACTCAAGCCACGGAAGGAAGTTCCTAAAGAGCAGAACTCTTAACCATCTTCCCTTGTTCAGCATCTCTCTCCTCCATAAACCTTGGGGGCCAGTTGGTTTGGAGACTCTTAATGAAGGCAAAGTCAGCAATTCAGAAAAAACGCACCAAGCTTAGGGTTTAGAACTTCAAGTTTCTTTCCAGCCGGGGGTCTTAATACTTCCTTGTCTCACGGGTTCAAGCTTCATAACTTCTATACAGATCCTCTTTTCATTGAAAGTTTTTCCACCTAAACGACCTGGCAATTCTCTCCTTTTTGTTGGAGGAATTTGACCGACAGAGGATTACAAAGATATTCTCAAACATACATCTCTCAACCAAACAGCACGAGTATCAATTGCTGGATAATGAGAAGGGGGGAGATAGCTACCCACCTCATCCAACCTAACTCTTAACTTCCCTCTCTCTTCAATAAATGAAACTTTAAAAGATTTTCTTTCAAATCAAGAAGAAAAATCTGCTGAGATTGGATTGCCCCTTCTCATCTGTGATTTGAAAACAGATTTTATCCATTTTTTATGAACAGTGGTTCTACCAAACAATCTGCAAGATTGGATGGCTTTGATTCTCCTTAATCACCCCTTCAAGCAAGAAAAGGCAACCCTGTGGCTACACACAACTGAGCCTTCATTTGGTCAATTTGGAAAGAGAGAAATGCTAGGCTCTTCAATGACAAAGACAGCTCTTCTCAACATGTGATAGAATCTATTTCTTTTTTGGCACTATCATGGTGTAAAAAATATCACTCTTATCAACTATAGTTTAATTCTATTATATCCAATTGGAGAAGTTTTTTGTAACTTCATTGTATAGGGTTTAATCCTTTTGTAAATTTCATACCATCAATGAAATTGTTTACTATCCAAAAAAAAAAAATCAACAAGAAAAATCTGCATGAGTACAATCCAAGGATTATGAGAAAGGGATTGGCCACCCACCTCGACCAACTCTTAACTTCCCTCTCTCAGTTAATGGAACTTTCAAAGAGAGGGAGAGAGAGAAAGAGAGTTTGACATGAAGTTACAAATAGTGATTCACAAAGATAACATCTAAGAGTGAAGCAGTATTCTACAAACATCTCATCAAACTAAACCACCGTCACAAGAACTTTAATGGAAGGGAGAGAAAACAAATGGAAAATTAGCAAAGGCAGAAGCATCAAGAAATTTACAAGACCAGAAATTTGATAGCGAGATATCAAAACAAAACCATACAAACGAAATTATAGCCCAAAAACGAAAGTCTTACCAATTGCATTCTGATATTTTCTGTTGGGATTATCAACTCCTACAAGGGATAATTATCTCTTTTAGAAGGAAGATTACCTTCTCAGCTTGGACCATTTCCTTGGATTTAGCTACCCGAAAGTTGAGTGCCTCTTCTTTTTGCTCTCTGCTAATGACATGCATGAAAGATAAGAAATGCATTCAACAATAGAGTCAGAGATGAATCTCCACTCAGGACACCCCTACCAACTTTGCACACCCCCACCCAAAAAAAAATAATAATAATAAGTACCAATATATACTTATGATGCTGTCACTGTACATGTACAATGTACCAGCTTTATAATCATCGTAATTGTTCTTTGTACCTTTACAATTGAAACTACTTGAGCTGTCTATTTTTTATGACAACTTATTACAATTGAAATAGTTTTTTTTTTTTCTTCGTACAGTTAAATGAAACATAGTTCTACTTCTATTGACCATTCTCCTGCAAGTGGTGGTGTTTGATACTAAGAATCTCCTATTGTTTTGCCTATTAAAATGCAAAGAGAAAGAGAGCAAGTAGGGGTTACTCTCTCAAAAGGGAAAAAAAGTCCTTTGAATCAATGTAAGGCTTTAGGTTGGAAACTTTCCTTGGAAGGAACCAGAACTTCCCAAAATTCCTATAGGAAAGATGATGTTTCAGGATATAATTGAGAGCCTCAGCCTCTCTTTAGTGCTCTACTTGTAAATAATTTTGTAATAATTGTCTTATATAATCTTTGCCAATCAGAGTGAATTATTAACTCCTTCGCCTTTCAAGAGGATCTGTCCTCACCTTTTATATTCTTTCATGAGAAATGAGAGTTTGTGTCATATCTAAAAAGAATGTCACAAATAGGACATATTGCAGACATAAGGGACACCTCAAAAGGGTAACAAACATGAAAGCAACAATAAAGAAATACATGCAATATGCAAGCCAAAAAATTGCATTAGTAATATGTTAAACCTGTGGTCTACAATTCGCTTTTCAGCTTTCAAGGTAGAATTAGCCAAAGATTCGGACAAAACTCTAAGTTTCTCGACCTACAATATAAATTGAATGCCATTATTCGGTGGTAAAAGTATCAACAGTAACTGAATCGAACAATCAATAGATAAAAGAAACAGAAAGTAGTTCATTAAACAACTTATACCAACTTGAAGAACAGCATGGGCATCATATAATTTTTGGAGACATCACAATGATGGTGCATACTATTAATCTAAACCATTGGGACCAAAGGTTCTTACATCGATTGAGGAACATGCTTCTTATCTCAGAATTTCTCCAGGTAACCTTTCTATACTTTCTTCTGTGAATAAATAAGCTGATAAAAATACTAAAAACAAGCATACTTTATAGCACCAACGTTTTTTTCTCTCTACAGTACGTGAGGTGGGGGAAGGAAAAATAGATACTGCAGAACATGTAAAACTCTAGATTTGAAAAATGCGAGAATATACTAAATCTAATACAGAAAGCCACGAGTATTTCAAGTTTATTAATAGATTATCAGAGTCAAATAAGTATCTAAAAATTAGATTTTCTATACCTCAAGTAAGAAAATTGCCCAATAAGTAAATTGCATTAAAGTTATTATAAGCATTAAAAATGTAAGATGGGCATAACATGCACTGAAGTTTATTATAAGCCATCTAACTCCATCGCCCGACCAAAAGAATCAGGTTAGTTAGTTCCCTCATACCATTTTGTTAACACAAAGCCAGGAAAATAGGAACGGACCTTTTCAGCATGAAGCTGCGGAGAATCCCCCTCGTTAAAAAGCTTTTTCTTTCGTAGGAGCTCCTCCAACTTGGAGCATAATTGAACTTGTGAAAGTATTTCTTTCAGAATCTGTAATTAACATAATGCGATCTAAGGTAATATAATACATTTTTTCTTTCAGAATCTGTAATTAACATAATGCGATCTAAGGTAATATAATACATTCCTAAAACTCTTTAAAAAGATAAGAAATGATAGCAACGATGTAGAAGAAGTACTTATCAACAGATTAAAAATTTAAGAAAATTACCAAAGATGGTTAACTAGAAAAATTGTAATGGCTCTACTACGAGCTCACTTTCTCTCTCAACAAACGGACTATGACAATCACTTAAACATTGTAACTAGATAATTGTTAGGGCTCTAAAACAATCATCAGCTTATCTTCTAAAATGTCATGAGCATTCAATAAAAACGACCACAATAACATACATGGTTCGTATTAATGTGTGTAGATATAAATTAACTTCTAATCCACCTTAGAAGTTGTAGTTTCATCATTCAATGAGTCATCATGGTCTCCACGTGAAGGTGTCAGTTCTTCTTTCTTTTCATCAAGTGTTTCTTTCAAACTACACGCTTTAGCATCTATTCTGAGAGCAAGAAATTGACAGAAGATGAGAAGAATAAGTAAATTTGTTTGGAAGAGGATTAGATAAATTACAATGTGAATGTGTTCAATGAAAAACTTCAATTGAGAGTTCTGCAAACCCACACAATGATCTTGTCATCAAAAGACATAATGTATTTAAAGAATTTTTGTTGCCCTAGACACTATAGGTTCAGCCACAAACTCCTCTACCCATTCCCACCGATTCACCAAGCATCATCATTACCAGATCATATCATCAAAAATTACGATAATAAAAAGATCAGAAAGAGTACAGAACAAGTTCATAAATTGAGATTAAATTCAAATGCCTAGTATCCATTTCAGGAATACGCCTGCTTTAATCATATGCTTCTGAATGTTATGTTCCCAAGAACGTATATGGTGGCCAACTCAAAAAATAAAACCACCACTGAGTTTTTAGTAAGGCACACAAGTTAGCTTTTGAGTTTGAAAGCAAATCTTAATGATTGTGAAGTGGAGAGGCGGAGTGGACTCTCATATGTGTTATATATGTTCCTAATCAATAAAGACAGGAGGGTTTGGCCATTAAGAGCCTTTAGGAAGTAACATGAAAGTATCTATCAATAAAAATCATTAAAAAATAATAATAAATTTATTAATAAATAAATAATAATAAAAAAAGAAAGAAAAAAGCTAATACTCCCCCTTTAGTCGATTCCAAAGTTTATAAGGAGGTACACGTACAGAAGTGAGACGCCCCTAGAAAATCAGTGTCTTCCTATGGTCATTGATCCTAGGGAGTATTAACATTCAAGACAGTTCAAAGGCGCTACCCATTTGCTTTTTTTTTTTTTTTGGTAGGAACGAAAACAACCATCATGGGATTGCCTAGTGGTCAATAAAGGCTCATGTAAATAGCAAATGGCTTAGAGGGAATGGATTCAAACCATGGTGGCTACCTATCTAGGATTTAATATCCTACAAGTTACCTTGTCAACCAAATGTAGTAGGGTCAGACGGTTGGCCCGTGATTAGTCGAGGTGTACGCAAACTGGTCCAGACACACGGATATAAAAAAAAAAAACGAAAACAACCTAAGCGCAGGGGGAAGAGATATCCCCTTCCAAAGACTACTGAAGAATAGTTTTCTAATCTTGCATTATCAATGAGAGGCTATAATTACAAAAGAATTTTCTATGTCTCTGACACCACTACAAAGAGTGTAGCTAACAGTATTACAAAAAATATCAAAAGAGAAAGACTTATCTTCAAAAATTCTATAGTTTCTCTCCAACCAAATATTCCAAAGGAAGGCTCTAGCCGCACAGTTCCAAAGGTTTTGCCTTTCCACTAAGGTGCCAACCTTGTTGAGCTTCATCCAACCATCCATCAATGTACTTGGACAAACAACCTTAGTACCCAAATACTTGAAACAAAAAGGACCACCCCATCGTTGCAAATTGGTAGTGAAGAAAGATGTGGTCCATACACTCCTCATCCTTGTGACAGAAAACACAAATTGAAGGGGACAGAGCCCAATTTGGGCACTTCGTTTGTAACCTTTCATTCATGTTTACTGCCCTATAGGCTAAAGACCAAAGGAAGACTTTGACTTTCTTGTGGATCGAGTACTTCCAAATTAGAGAAATCAATGGCGATTTCAGCTGTGGGGCGTCCTCAAAAAAGGTTTGAAAAGCCGACTTTGCAGTAAAGAGGCCCGAAGACTCGAGCGACCAAACTGCTTTGTCAGCACTCTCCCTGATCCTTTTTTTCTTTTTAACAAAGAAGAAAGCTTTTCATTGAATTGAAAAGTTATAATAAAATTAATATCCTCCTTTTAGGAGAAGTACACAATAGCTTACCCGTTAAGAAACTCTGAATAGAAAATTACAAAAAAGCACCCCAAACTAGAAGTGATAGCATTAACTGAATACAATCTAATGATACACCAAGGGACCACAAAGTATTTGAAGATCTTTGATCTTTTCCATATACAATCCTAAGATTTCTTTATGTCCATAAACCTTGTAAAGTTTCTTTGATCACATTGTTCCATAATATTTTAGAACACTTATTCCAACCCATCACCATAAAAACAATGAAATGGCATGAATTTTACCATCTTTATAGAAAACCTAGGAGGAGCTCCAAGATCACAAAACACCACCTGTCCAAACTTGCTTCTCACGGAATAAAAACAGTAAACGACTTGGATTTTCTTTCTTCTTCTTTCTTCTCACATAAACAGGACCAACTTGGATGACTAATACAGGACATATTTTTTTATTTTATCAACATGTTTAATTTTTCCCAATATACTAACCATGCCATAATGTTTAATTTTCTCAGACTTTGGTTACCAGAAAGTATGATATAGTCGTTAAGGTAATACAGTACAACCAACCAACACTACAGACAAAGCATCAAGTAACCAAACTCTTTTGTTTACTCTTCTACTCAATGAGAAGCCTTCAATTAATTGTAAAAGTTCACAACAGTTGTCCCACCACCTCATCTTTCAAATTTGTTCTTACAAAAACTTCCCACAAGCAAGTACTTTCCTCTCGTGCCTCCACTTTACTTTAGATTTCCTTCTCTTTAGATTTCCAATCCCCAATCCTCCACTTTCCAAAGCCATTGAAGACAAATTTCATATTACCTTCATTATCCATCTCCATCTTTGTTTCTATTTGTAGCACTATATTAGTAGGTAAAAACAAAATAGAGAAATAATACAGGTGCAGTTTGTAGATAACCCCCGTCCTTTTCTCACAACTTAGATGTTTATTGTAAAAACACTAAGATTTTTTTTGTCCATAAACCATGTAAAGTTGTTTTGACGACATTACATAGGTGCAATTTTAACATCGTTGTAAAAACCCCCAGAGCACCAAAACCTTGATGAAACCGGTTAAAAACTCCACCATAACCCAATGCAAATCGAATGCACTAGTAAATCACATGGTTCTAGGAACGACTTACTGTATTTTATTTGTGGACAAGCTAGAGTTTGAGAAACGAAGATCTTTGGTAACTTTCAYTGTCAACATTGTCAAATAGGCTTTTCTCTTGGTATACCTTATCTMGTAAAGCACAAAACAAAGTAGTCGTCTTCTCTTTCCTTATTCAATCAACAAAAGTTCCTAAATATAAGTTCCTACATGCTGCTGTAGGGGGCATAACAACAGTAAATACGACTTGGATTTTCTTCAAATTTTTGCATAAACAGCACCAACTTGGATTACAAAAGGACATCTTTTTTAATTTTGTCGACCATGCTTAACCCTTAAAAATAGACTAACCATGCAAAAATGTTCACTCTTCTCCGACTCTTTGATTTCCAGAAAGCATGATATAGCTGTTTAGGCAACAGGGTACCACCAAAAAACTCTTTAAACTAAAATTTAAAAAGAGAATCCAACCGCATTAAGTAACCAAACTCTTTTGTAATCTTCAATTCAATAGGAAGCCTATAATTGCAATAGTTCTCTTCAATAACCAAAATGTTCCATCTGCAAATCTTACTTGAAGAATTTGGAATTGTGTAGCCATTCTTAAAGCCCCACAGACGCCTCTTCTAGCCAGTAAATCTGTGCCCCTATACAATTTGATGAGAAAAGAAGTCGAATAACCTCAAATATCACTAACTTATGACAAACAACTAATTTTCAGGTATATAAAGCCTGCAATTCATTCACACTAATCTTTAAGGATAAATGATCTATAGAAGAACTAGATCGAAAGAGATTTTGTTCCCATTTCACATCAGCTTCCATCTTTATCTCCTTGTTCATTCCGTCTTCACACTGTTTCTCATATGATTTTCAGTAAGTTATCATATAGAAGTATTAGTAAACATAACCTTCTGATACCATGCATTCCAGTGGTATATTTCATAGGGCTAGCCTAGGGAGATCTAAAGCTCTGACTTTTTTACCGATTGCTTGGTATCTATTAGCTGGTGCATATAATGCAAAAATAAGAATGAAAAAACCAATCATCTGTTCCTCCAATGACCTTCTCTTACAATATTTGAGTCCTCTACATTGGTGCCTATGGTTCTCAGCGTATTCTCCAAGAAGTGTTCGAAATGGTGGAACAACATTTGTCTTGTGAACCTTTTAGATGGGAGCCCAAAACTTTGTGGATTAACACCATCGAAGCTTTATTTTGGGAGCATTAGATGGAAAAAAGCTTTATTTTGGGAGAATTAGATGGAAAATAACGAGGAATTTTTATATCAGTTAGTAAGCCAACAAATACTATTCAGTGTAAGGTTTTGATAACAATCAAAGATATAGCAAGGAAATACATAAAAATATTCCCAGTTATTCAACGAACTTCGAACCTCAAAGAAAACTCAAACTTACACCCACAAACCATTGCCTACCTTCATCCCCTTGCTCCCTATATTTTCAACTAACTCCTACTAACAAATTCCTTTTCTAATGACTAGTATACCTCAGTATCCTAACAATATTTCTAACCTGTACCTAATAGTATTCTTAACAGAATTTCAGCTTCTCTGTGGTATACTCTTTCTATATGTTGTAATTATACACCTGTTAAGATTTGGAAGAAATGAAGTTCTTTCATTAAAATTCATTAGCTTTCAGGAGGACAACTTATCTTCACTCTTTTCATTACTTCCCCTTACATAATAGAATTTTTTCCTTCTCTTGAAAAAAGTGCCTAGTCTTTGAGATTTAATTTTTGGGGATGGCACGTATCTCCATTTACAACTAAAGAATAGAACGCTTAAGACGTATCTCCAAGACATAATAACAATAATAATAACAAGTAAGAATAAGAATAAGAGTAAATAATTAGAAGTTAAGATACATGGAGTATATCTAACAAAGAAGTAAAACGGCATGTATCATATAAATTAGAGCTAACAAGACCAAAACATTAAAAGCATCAGTGATGTGAAATTAGCAATCAGAAGCAATCATCAACATAACACAACTATCAGTGTATTGAAGCTTTTTGTAATCCTTTAATTCAAAGTAAGCTGATCCTTGATCTTATGGTGGATTTTTTATAACAAATCCCACTTTCTTCACTGGTTAATGATAAGCTCAAGGGATGAATGGAGTGATTTTATTCTGTCCTGTCATAGATTTGGAAACAAATATAACTTTTACACTGAGGAAAACAAATATAAATTTAACGGGCTTTTGCAATAATAGCATATTTGGCCTAAATAATTGCAAATTCGTCACATGATAAAATATTTTGCAAAAATGGCGCAAATGTAAGAACTCCTATATAAGTGATATACTTCATATTTGGTAGATCGGTGATACTTTATCAATGATACAAAAATGGTATGGTATATTAGTGATATACTTTATATTGATATATCAATGATAAATTTTATCAAATATACAAAAATGGGATATGAGTGATATACTTTATCACATAAATAGTATATCATTTTTCTATTAGAAAAAAAATATAGTATATCAGTCCCTTTATATTAGGTATATAGCAATATATCTTATCAACTACATAAAAATGGTATATCAATGATATAGGAGAGAAAAAATTTCCATATTTTCAAATTATTTTTCTATGTGACAAATTTGCAACATGGCAACCAGATTTGCCACCCATTATAATTTCCTTTAACTTCAATGACACTAAGAGGGATAGGGATGATGTTTGTGATAAAGTTTGACTTTATGCTCTCTTTGGACGCTTAACTCTAACTTCATTCATGATCACTCCCTTCATTATCATGGATACTTGAGAGTCTCTTTTATAATCCCATATCCTCTCCTTAGAGCTAGCTCCTACTCACCCTTGCATAGGTTTCAATTTAGTTCAATTGTATTTCTATCAAGAAAATCCACGCATACAATATCCAATTGATGAAGGCCAATGAATGGAATATGAAAGATATGCTTATTGACCACCTATCAAAATCAGCATTTATTTTCAGCCCTGAAATTGCATCTTGGACATATTGGAGCAATTCTTCTCGTTTTACCTAAAAATGGGAGTGAAAAAGGGAAGTGATTGCTCTGCCCAAACTAATTTTATGCTGAAAGTAATTCATGCCTTCATGACATTACCAGTACTTCATCTTGGTACTCTGAAAATGCTTTTGCCAAATTATGCACACTCGTCATTACTGCTTGACGTATTTCCTTCCCTCCTGAAAGACAGAGCCTGAATATAGCCACGATAAAGGGAATTTAAAGTCCAATGATATGAATGTGAACATGATTATGATGCAAAGTAATTTCTAATATTGTTTCTTCTCGTCTGCACAAGTAATGTGAGAAGACTTTCTGAGATCAGCTGCAGGGCATAATGAACATATATGGTGTAACTGAAAAATAATATTCACCCATATATTTCTAGAAGTAGTGATTCTTCTTCATCATTCGGTTCTTCAAGAATCTGAGTCATAGAAAAGGGTTAACCTGCGGTTAAACTGCATGATCAGCCAAAAAAAACCCACAAAAGTAGTTGAGAAGAATAAATCCCTCCATTCCCGGACGAGGGGGAAAGAATGCTAATATCTACATACAGAATGGAGACAAGTTAAAGTTTTAGGCCTTTTACGCATATCAAATTTTTACATCATTCCAACAGAACGAGAAGCAGATGAATTATTTCCAGCACTTAATACATTTGGAACTAACTAGCATATTTTCGTATACCAATGTTTTGCAAACAAAAAGGCATTGATAGGCATTGAACTCACCATAGACAACGTAATGCCTTCTAGAGCTTGGCTTGTAAGAAATACATCACGAAAAGTTCTCAGCTCGCCTCCCATATCAGGGTCCACATAATAGACCTGCACAAAGTATCAAACTAACGTTTCATGACATTGTGTTCAGTGTTGGGAAAGAAAACGAACATTAAAATGACTATAAATCCTTCAATCCAACAGGACATGCAAAAATGTCAAGGAAACACAACACATTAAATGATACACACCAAAGTAGGTTTCTTTGGAGAATCTTTATTTTCATCGTTAAGCTGATCTGTCGGACTGTTTTTATTACCCTCGATAGAACCTAGTGAAAATCTATCCACCTCTTTGAGCGCAACCAGCCACCTTCTCAATAGCTGAACTCTTTCCATGCCTCTAGAAGAAACAGATATTTCTTCCAGCCTTTTTACTGTCTGTTTAAAGCCCTGCATATTCCTTGGCCCCTGCCTCACAAATCAAACCCAAAACTTAATTCGTCTGAGAGACAGAAATTGTAACAAGTAATACACACGGACACAAAGCCACAGACATAATATTACTAAACGAACAAATCCACACACTAGACAGAGACCCAACATTGAAGCATTCACAATTATTCCAACCGAACCAAACTCCACTATAACCAGAGAGAATGTAGAGCAAAAGTGAGAATGAAATTACAATGCGGTCTTGGATGATTTTGGCGCCCTCCACAACGGCATTTCCCGCATGGTAGACGACGGTGCCGGCGTAGCTACGGACAGTGCGGGTGAGGTTATCCTTCCCCCCGGCACCCGCTTCCACCGCCTTGATCACCGCTGCTCTAAGCCACGACATCGCCCCCCTATCCCTCCCAGGCCCCCCTCTCTCGTTCTAATAACAAAAAACGAGATCCAACAAAACGTAGAATCAATGTTTGAACAAATTTTTCAACAATAACAGAAACTATTCCGCAAATGGCGGTGTCTGATTTGTCCGAGAGAGGTTGTTGAAGCCAAAGGAATAGTGCGAAATGCCTTCACCGGCGACGATTTGGGAAATGCAGAGGAAAAGAGATGGAAATCTAAACTTTTGGAAGGGATGGATCGGAAAATGGAGGAGAAAGGAGAGAGGAAGACGAAGTCAAGAGGAACGTTGTGCCAGTTCAACGCTATTCTTCTCTTGTCGCAGTGGCTCGATTCCTCTGCCTGTAATTTCGCTCCAAATTTTATAACGATTACCAGAATGGTGTCCCCCCTTACAAATAACGCCACCTCCATTAATTGGGCCTGCCTCTGTATTGGGCCTAATCTGAGCCCATTACCGGAAATAAGCCCTACTGGGACGTTTCAACGGAAAAGTCAGCTTTTTTTTTAATATCAGTAATATTTAAAATTATTTTTATTTTAAAAATAATGTTAATTCAAACTTTATTCCAAAAATAATATTGAAACATGCAGTTACTCTACCAAAGGATCGTTATTGTTTTATAAAGGTATACGTTGACTCCTCGTCTTTTCGTTTCATACATAAATTTCGAATTAGCATTATTTTTAAAAGAGGTTAAAATACTAAGAGGTCAAACTGACGACCACTTCGTTGAAGATATATGTTGAACTACTCGTTGTAGCTATTTGTTATTAAATATTAATTTATAAAAATGTTATATTTGTGAAAACAGACCCTTTCCCCATCATATTACTCATATTTTGGCAGTAGAGGACTTCAAACGTAGGATGAACCAATTATTTGAACCGAAAAATTCTAGTTAGTTGTAATATTTAGATACTTTAAAAAATCAGAATAATTACAATATTAGTTTGAATTCTACAACTCACATTTTATTACAAATAAAAACATTATTCGACATCATATAAATGGGGATTAAACGAGCAAAATCTTATTTTCTGAAAACATTATAGTTAATTTGATTTGAATTAAAAATGAAAATGAATTCCTTACTATATTTAAAAATAAATGACTACATTTATAAATGTTTCCATATTACAGCAAGTCAATATTTACTGGAATATATACACAGAAACAAAAGGCGGATTTAAGCTATAAAATGTATATGATTTTTATTGACTAATCATAAATTTACCCAAATGTTGTATTAACAAAATTTCCTTATGTTTAAAGAAATTTGTATCTCAAATTTTCCTAACTAATATGGCTGATGCTGATTTTAATCAACCTCTGGTAATGGCATTTTCCAATAGTTCCACGAGTTGAAGTCTTCCTATAAGAGATTAAAAAATAAAAATAAAAAATTAGCGAGAGAAAGAAAATGCAAATGAATATTAAAATGAAAAAGGGTCGACAAAAATAGAAAATATCAAAGAGAGAATGTATACATAAGAGAAATTTTAAAGCACTTCTAATTATTTAAAAGAAAATTATAGGTATTTTGTCACAGTTAAAACTTAAAAGCACTTTCCAACAAGTAGAATCACTTTCACTAGTTTCAAAAATACAACCATTTTAAAATAGACATGTTTTGACAATGATTCATAAATAATTTTGAAAATCACTTTGATATCCAATCCATCTCCACTTGAGAAGTGATTCTCCACCTGATTTTTGGTATTAAAAAAAAAAGAATTAATAGAAAATTAATTTTCAAAATAGTTAATTGTTTTAAATTTCAAAATTTTCTTTTTATTTCACCTTATTTCCACCCTGATTTTTTTTTCATTCTAAAATTTCTCTCTATAATTTTTTTTTTATAATATCTCTCTAAGATTTTTTAATTATTGATATAGATTATTTAATTATATATATCATGTTTTTTTATCATAATTACTTAATAAATGGTGATTTTTTTTATGGTGTCAAGTAATTTTTCAAATATATGTTATTAGTTTTTTAATTTAAATCACTTTTAATTATATGAAAACCAATTTTAACCGGACATTAAAACAATTATACTATAAAAATCAATTTAATGTGAAAATCACTAGTTCTAAAATCATTCTCAAACATATCCCTACTCTTACCGGTTGGACAGACGAAGTTGGTGGAAATATTACGTTAACGAGTTCGGCCAACGACTCGTAAGATTTAACATTGTGGCAATGACTATTCACCACCTCTCCCTACAAGATGACACAAATTTGCAGGATCAAACTGAGAGAACTGAGCAGGTATAAAATCATAGTCTTGAACCAGCTAAATACCTTTGGGTTGATTATAAATATTTTGCCCTTTGGGATCCCCATTTTCATGTAACTGAGCTCATCGGTGTCTCGGTTACCGAAGCCAGCGTAGAACGGGTTATGATCGGAAGGGAAAAGTCTTCTAATCTCCTGCAGATTTCACAGCACAGAAATGCAGTGTGTAAGAACTAGCACCTAAGAAACTGTTTGAATGTAACTTAAAAATTGCAACATTTTTCCATTCCCCCATTTACCTCTAAACAGGCAATCTTAAATTCATGAGGTGCTCTTCTTATTACTGTCATCATCATCATAAGAGACAAAATAAGTGCAACTGATAGATTCAAACATAATAACAATAGAAAATGAACTTCTGTGATAATGTCAAGGTTTCAGATTTTCAGAAATGTTGATGAAAATGTCGATGCTTGAAATTACTTGAATGGGACAAATGTTGATCACTTCTTATATAAGTTTACATATGAGCGATGAGAAGTTTATTCTATGTTTGGAATAACATGATGAAGTTCAATGCAACGTGCCACTCCCACAGACGAAAATATTTTACCTTCTCGGTACAGCGAAGGAAATAGTCCATCTGGAGATATGACGACAGGGCCATCGGGTAAAGCTTCTCCATCCTACAATGGAAGAAGAATAATCTATGTCATTGTTGATTTTGTTGTTTCCAAAATTGTAACGTTTATTGAAAATGAGAACTGAGAAACATAAACCCTTATCAAACACTAATGTTTCTCAAAAACTAGAAATGCAAAAAAACTAAAAATGGGAATGTTATGAAACGGGCTCTTAAATATCCAAGATGGTCAAAATTAAACGTTAACAAGGTTAATCTCATTAATATGTTAGCCGATACCTGTTTTAGGTTGAGCAAGAAACTCCGGGTTAAATACGCTTGAACAATTGCTCGGGCGCTCAAAAATAGTAACTGATATCCATTTTCCTGTAGTAAAAACAAAATTCGCTGTGAATACTCAAAAGTTGGTTATCTTGAATGATTAACTGTGAATAGAGTACACGCCTTAATTGCAGAGAAAAGTCTAGCCACCCCAGATTGTGTCCAGTCCATGCCAACCAAAGGCATGAATTGGCCTAACACATCAGACCTGAAAAAAATATATAGGCAACACACAAGTTATATTCGATATCTGATTAGTTGCAACGCTGCCGAAGACACAAAGAATATGCAGCCATTCGTTACAACTAATTGTAAAATTTTCATCTGATACGAAGTTATAGACGAGATTACACAAAAATCTCCCAAGAAAAAGCAAAATCCCAGAATAACAATCAAGGAAGTTGCAGAGTGATTTTATAGCTATATAATTCAGCCTTACTTGGTTATTGTCCCGTCCACATCTGAAATTACGATTCGAGCGTTCCATTTCCACAGGTAAATATGAGCATCAACCTGTTAATGCATCTGCAGTTTAGCACCAACTAGGAAGATCCAACTTTCATGTTGATATATCTTGATCATAAAGTATGAGTAATAGTCGACAAACCTTTTGTACTCCGAGAACCTTTGTAGAAAAGGTGAACTTGATCCTATTTTGACCTTCTTTTAAATTCAAAGCCGCTATCTGCTCCGTAGTAGGAATGTTTGTCCTTATAATACGGTTGCGAGGAGAATCGTTGTAGTGTTGGGATGTCAGAGTTGGACTCGGTAACTCAGATAGGGTGTCGAGAAACACATCCTCGTTAGATGTGCTATCGCCATTGAGCTCAAATGTTTTGACCCTTCGAAATGGAATGGACCAAAGCCTCCACCTACTTCCAGACGGAGTAGAAACGTTATCAGCTTCCTCATCTTCGGGCCTGGTAAAGTCATCTTGTTCCACGGGAATCGCATCATTGGGATCCATCGGCAAATCCAATCCAAATGCTGCCATTCCAAGCACTACTGGAGCCACTTTATCCCAATGCCAGTACCTCCCTCGAAAACTAATTATTAGATTCTCATTCCTTGTAATTGACGTGGCAGAGCTTCCAAATGCCCAAGCAGATATGCGATGAGCATCAAACACTTCAGCAGCAGCACTCAATCCCATACCGGGATGAAGTTTACTTCCGCAAAGTGAAATTTTGAAGTCTGTATATTATTGGCATAGGGAAAGGGATTACATAAACGCACTGTGTATGAATGATCAACAGATGAATTTCTAATCATTATTGGATCCAGCAAAAAGGAGCTTACTTGTGGTTTGCTGACTGTCAATCCTTTCGTTCGAACTTTGTACACGAAATCCCGAAAACTCGCTTTCACTGCATTTATCGTTAGACACAGATCTTTCTAAACCTCCATCTTCATGATCAACTGCCTCATTCACTTGATCATTCTTCAACTGTGTATTATGACTATCAAAGTAAACTGATTGGTCATTTTGATCCAGATTATCCATAACGGGTAAATCGGGAGATGTACAGGTGCCAGAGAAATCATGACCACTTGGTAGGGATGACTCTTTCTTGATGAATTTACCAACACTCTCTTCTACAGTTTCATCAACTCTTGGAGGATTTTCAATGCCTTCAGCTTCTGAATTATCAGTCACCAACAAGGGACTGACATCTTCCGAATCTAATTGACCATGTTGTGGTCGCTCCAAAAGGGAGTTAGAAACACAACCTGTATCGCCTCCCGAAGTAATATCCACATGGTTTTGTGAATGAAAAACATGTTCATCTCCTTCACAGACTTCCAGCTGGTACTCAAAAACATCAGTGTCACTGTTGGCACTGCAAATGTAATACAAATCAACACCACTTTTGGATCCATTAAGATGATTACAATTACGAGGCTGAGGATCTTCCCCAGAATTGGACTTCTCATTACCTTCACCAAAATCCATCCCATCACCACAACCCCGACAATTTTGAGTTGGAGTCAATCGCACTTTCTCCATACTCTTTTTTGATGCCGAGATAGGATCAGTTGGCTCATAACCATTCACACTCCCTAATACTATTTCTGACTTCTCATCGTGTGATTTTACAACTTCCACATCCGTATATTGATTCGACCTATCATCTAACATCTCAACTGAACTGTCCATACAAGATTCCTCATCTTGGAAAGATCTCCCCTTGCCATCAGATTCTGCTGTCTCATTTCTTTCAGAGTATAATGGACTTGATTCCTCCTGCATTTGCACACTAGCATCAAAAACACCATTCTCTTGAACACAAGAGTCAAGAACATCCTGATTTCCATCTTTCCTGCCATCAAAATCTGTCCTATCATCAATAATCAAATCACCCATAGCTTCAACACCACCACTTCCCTTGGTCGGATCAACTTCCCTTACAAAATACGCCTCGCCCGAACTATCAAGATACATATGAAAACCAGCCTCGACACCATTGACGGTTACGCGAACCTTCTCTGCACCCTTCAGCACGCCCTGAAACTTACCAAATTGGACGTGCCATGGCGTACTCCGAAAAGTCCCATCCTCATGCTGAACAACAATCACATCAATGGCTCCTCCAAAGGGATGGAAAGGGATAGCAAATGCTAAAACACCTTGAGTGATCAAATTCCCGAATCTTCCCACCACATTCATCATATCCAACTCCAAGAACTCAGATCAAAATTTACAGAAACCCCAATAAGAAATCGAAAAATAAACTTTCTTTTCCCCCACACTTTCTTTCAAATAAAAAATTTATCATAAGTTACTCCAAATTTCAACTTCTCTTGTCTTCTACTTCAATCCCAACATAAATCAAACAGAGCTAGTTAAAGAAAAACAGAGAAGCATCTCATTTCAAGAACATTCCGCCGCCAATTTAGACCCACAAGGCATGCATGTGAGCAGATACTGGAAAACGCAGAAACTTCGATTCTTGAACAGCCAAATTATGAACAAGAAAACGAATAAGACAGAAATTTGCCCCAATACCCAGAAAATTTTATGAAACTAAACGAAACTTGGGGACTGACCCGAAGAAGAAAATCCGAAAAATGCGCTCAAAATTCGCCAATGATCAAAGAAATGGAAGAATGAGCGAGCCGAGAGCTCGAATTGAAGCTTGTTTTTCTGTGATTGCTCTCCCAATCGAATGCGCACGAGTTCATTTTCCTTTTTTCTTCCCCCTTGTGGCGGCTTCTTCAGAGTTTGGACTTATCGAATTAACGTCTGGCTATAATAGAAGCCACAGGAAATTTTCAAGTAGAAGAGCCGTAGACGAATAAATAGTTAATGCTGGAATCTTAGTACGAAACTGGTGCTGGGTTTTTGTCAATATTACGAGATTGCCCTTAAGGTAGCCGTGTAATTGTGGTGCACTTTGAAGGGTGTTTCGGGTATTTACTATTTAGTCGTTTGGCCGCTCTGCTATTTATTTTCCGGCTTCTGGCTTTTTCGACCGGGATTGTCAAGGAATCGAGGTCAACAGCAGCCACGTATTCATCTTCCGTGCTTCAAAATTCATTGATAATTGTTTGACTATTCCTTTGGAAATATAAAATAAAATAAAATAAATTTTTTTACTATTTTTCCTTTTGAGGCAACAAAGAACTTTATTTAAGAAACAATAAAATCACTTTGGGTTACAGTTGCACATTCAAATAATTGAGAATATAGATAAATTATTTGACTATTAAAATTTAAGAATCGATTTCTTATTTTAATAATATTACTTAATAAAATTACTGATCGTTTTATATCTTTTATCATTGATGTCTTTAGTCACGAATGTTATTATTTATTTTTTAAAGTTGAATATTTTTATGAATCTAAATTGAATTGTCGATTTTTGATACACTTAACAAATATTATTATAGCGATATTATTTTCGTGGATGTTAATTCTTTTGATTGTATTAAATGATTTTTGGCCAGCTGTTTTTAATGCACTTTCTAGCTTGGTTTATACTTTTCATGGTAAGTTTTAGAGTGTTAATCTGATTTTATGGGTTTTGACATTTTTACAACTTTATTTTATATTGGTTGGTTTGTATGTGTACGATTTTGAATGTGTATTAATTTCATTGATTGTATTTGATAATCATTCTGTTTTTTTATTTTAAGGGTGTAAACAATAGTTTTATTCATGTGTTTCTTTGTTCTGTTACATCTTTT